GCGTCCTTTCAAATTTATAATCGTAACCATCACGTTCACTTTAATTGATTTTCAATTAAATCCTAGTTGTTTAATTACATTAATCCTCAATTAATGATCAGGTGGCTTTTTAATTTGTAACTGTAATCATAAACGTCCACTTATGGTGGTTTAACTCCATTATTCTTCCATTAACGTGAAATGTCTTTTGATGTTACGTAAGTTACGTGTGTGAAATATATAAATAGGTATATTTAAGATGAAAATTATATTCTACAACAATAGTATATTGTACACTCCACACCACTAATATTTTTAGAAATTAATAGAGTATAATATTTATATCTTTTCACAAAGTCAGTTTCAAGTAAATTCTTGGATATCTAATTGGGGTAAGAATACATGGTGCAAATGGTAAATTCTTATTCCTTGATATATATGTAAATTTTGGCATGAGATACTTTAAGGCCTTCGGGTTGAATACTATGTTAAATCCTTCGGGATAGACCGTTAGGTCAAAGAGAAGAAGTTAAATCTTTCGAGATAGACCGTCAGGTCAAAGAAAAGAAATTAAATCCTACGGGATATGAGGATTCTTAAAAAATTTCTAAAAAATGTTGGTATGTTATGCTATTTTTATATTTATATCATGTGAACAAGGATGTGCACGTATTCTTACTGAGTGTTTTCAAAATAATCACTCTTACAATATTTTCAAATAAGAACGGGTCGTGTGGACGCGTGGAAGATTGACAGAGCGATGCTAATGGGGTCGTCAAGTAAATTTTCTAGAAAGATAATTGTCCACTTTTATTTGAAGAATATCGTATGCATGTTATTTAATATGTTGTTCAAGCATTCGATATGTTGTGTTAAATTTTAAATTAATAATTTCAAATCGAGTATTTTCGATATATTTCCGCTTAAATTAGATAGAGAAAAATTTTGGTAGCACCACTAACTTATTTTAATTTAAAAATAATATAATAATATAAAAAAGAGTTCGGGGCGTTACACTTGTTGTACGACCTAAATATCCGCTTTAAAATTTCTTTTTTTCTTGCTCTATTAACAAGAAAAAGGGAAAGAGATGACTTAAATGCCTATAACTTCACAAAATTACGATTATTGTGATACCTATCTAAAGAATTGTGTGTTGCCATGATTTGTATCTCGAATACCTTACATGTAAAAGCTAGATGTACACAAGAAGATGTAATTGCAGCTTGTGAGAGGATAATACATGTTAAGTAGCTCATAATGAAGCAGTGTGCAATATGGTGATGGCACAACAGAGAAATCCTTGTATATTTATCTTTTCCAACTTCCACAGCACACTTACTCACATGATGTTTACTTCAGCCCCAATGTGTTAATCTACATTGGTAAAATCCTATAGCTTTCTAAAGCATTTATATTTGGTAACCATAGAGTTCTTATTCCTTTTCACCTGTTTCTGATTTTAACATCACAAGCTCCCAATCAAATGTTTTACCAATTCGTCCCATGCCAACTCTACTCCATAATTTTGTGACAAGACCCCAAAATTCTTTTCAGCTCTCTGCTTCCATTACATAGATAATCTTCATCTCGCACCACAGATTCGGGGAAAATGGGAATCCAGAATGAAATCAAATTTTGACAGAATTCTTAATTACCAGTTTCAAGTTCCTCCTTTTATGGGCCAAAACCTCTCACTACCATCGAGAGTTACTTATCAGAATCATATGCAGGGATTACTGTGGCATCTTAACCTACAATGTGACTTAACCTTGCTACACCTGAATCTAAAATTGGAGTCAATATTAAACTAACTAGTGTTCCTAACAGTATTAGCTACTTCTGAATTTAAAATAACCATAAATGAGATGGTCCTACTTATTTTCTAAACCACGAAGATATTAATGCAAGGCCTAGAACTAATTCAAAAAGTTTCAACTTCATTAAATAAAACAGTGACCAAAGTTTTCATAAACAAGCAATTAGCTGTCTGAATCAGACACTTCTCAAAGCATGTAGTCCGCAGTTATATTAAATTAATGTAAGTAATCTTTTCCATTTTAAGCGCTTAAAAGACAATACAATTCAACATAAATAAAACGAAACAAAATTACAGTAAATAATACTAACCCCAGGAAGCGTCTTCTTGTTGTGACATGCATTCACTGCCTTGTCGGCTTCTTCACTCGACGGACAAATCACAAAACAACATCCTTCCCAAAAAAGACAACAAAATTAGGGTTCCAACCCACAGCCTACGCGCTATCAAATTCAACAAATCTCAAAAAATAACAACTCAAATCATACATTGAGATCCAAAAACAAATTGAAGAAGCATGCAATGAGAGAGTAAAAAATTAAACCTCGAGAAGCACGCGTGGTCTTATCCTTAATTATGTTGACTTCGTCTACGAGCGCAAACTCTTGGAACATTGCGAGAATCTGGTCTTCAGTCATGTGCTTCGGCACTTGACCTACGAACAGCTTCACGCTCTCGTCGCTTTGCTTCTCCTCCGCCATTAAAGCGACAAAACTCTATCTTTCACGCTTTTTCCGCAGAAATGCTTCACAGTGATCTCTCTCTAAAATTTGTGTCTGTTTCTTGTTCTTCTGCTTAGAGTCTTCGCAGGGGAATTGGGGATTTTCTAGATGGCGAAGTTGGATCTTCTCTGAATTAATTATGATTGATGGATTTATAAATGCCCTCTGATTTCTGTACGATATTCGGGAATGCCACTAGGATTGTTTGACTTCTGAGCATCAGTTCAACGGTAAAGCCGAGATAGAGAAGTCGCCGATTGGCTGTTTTTCGAAATATATTTGGCGAGTACAAATGTGGACATCAGTAATTGACGTAAATACCCCTTGTTCGGCTATCAAAAATTTTCCCTCTTTATTCTCGTCGATTTAATTGAAATAGATTTGGCTCCCATTTTGGTCGGTTCCAAATTTTAAAAAGATAAAAAGGTTGTCCGGTCCTTTTCTGAAATTTTCTGGCAATTGAAGTCCTTAAATGTCAGTTTCTCAAGGCTGTGTTTTGTCTATACATCCACTTTTTCAGCGAGACATCATAAACTTAGAGTTTGATAACGAAAAATTAGCATAAACGTACCTTCTTTTAAAAGTTACTGTTTAAAATGTTCTTATCTTTTATTTTTTGAAATTTTCACCCTTAAATTCACATTTTATTGGAAATCATCATTTTCATCAAATTTCTCCTGTAAAATGACAAATATATCCCACATTTAAATAAAACAATAATAAAGAAAAGAAAAGAAAAGTTAAAGAATAAATTGCAATCATACTCTCAAACTTTTTTAAAATGTTCAAACGACTCCAAATAGCACAAAATGTCCCTACATTTCATTATTATTGTGCAAAATATCCATACTATTGTGCAAAATATCCATACATTTCATTTTTTGACATTTTCACTCTTATTTTTATATTTAATTGCGATATTTTGTGCTAATTACTCTTTTAATAATTTATTTGGACTCATTTGCACATTTTTAAAAGTTTGGGAGTATGATTGCAATTTATTCTTTAACTTTTCTTTTCTTTTGTATTGTTAAGGGGTATATTTGTCATTTTACACGTGAAATTTGATGAAAATGATTATTTTCGCAATAAAAGGTGAAGGCAATGGTAAAAATGCCAAAAAATGAAATGTAGAGACGTTTTGTACAATAACATTGAAAGGTAAGTACGTTTTGTGCTAATTACCCGTTTGATAAACTATACTTCGACAAAATAACTATTTGGTCATGATTCTCTCATAACAAATCCACAAACGAGATCTAACTTAACAATCATCGTTTTCAGCAGTAGGATGATTTAACTTAACCCAAGTGACACAAGAGAATCATCTCCAAGGAAATGTTGAAAGAGTGAAGTATTGAATACGTAGAATTTGTAATGTTAGTAATATCAACATCGTGTTATATTTTATTGCTATTATTTCTTTTAGATACACAAACAAAATCTTTCGTTTACTTAAAAATTGTTGACCTCAAAATCCGAAATAATACACGTATCAAAGGAAGAGGAACTAATCAACTGACAACTTGAAACATTTGCGCACTGGAGACAAATGTAATCCGATTGATGAAACCAAAGGGAGGGAGATCATTTGAACTCCAACTCTCGAGTTATATAAAGTTTTGAATGTGACAAAAATAAATAGACAGGGTATTGGTTAAATAAACACCACGAGCATATATTTATTTTATATTTTTTTTCTGTGGCTCACAATTAGATGAGATCTAAAGCTTGTAGGATTTCATACTCCGTGGTATTTTTTGCCTTAGTTGGTGGAATAAATGTTTTGTCCCTAGTCATTTCCATTCTAATTTTATATAACAAAGGTTGAAATTTGTCTCATATTACATTTGTACTTTTTAATAATTGTAGTCTCTGAGACATTTTCGAGTCAATTACATGCTTGCTAGCATCTACCTCCACGTACTTTGTATTATTCAATAATAAATTGTAGAGTCCTTGAGTCACTACACTTCAGGTCACGATGAATCTCGTTTCACATTGTGCATAATAAAGACCCGATTTGTTAAACATTGGTCCATTTTGTTCCGTTAACAAGTCAAGATCTTGTTTGTGGTAGTAGGTAAAAAGGGGAATCACCTGCTAAACTCTTCAACGAAGGAAGTGCCACTCTTTTTGCGAGGCCCATTTGCCACGTGGATGTCACGTTATCACGTGGCATACACATATGTTATGGTATAACATATTAGAAGATTATCCAGTTCATCAACAATAAATTTCGAATATCTACAATTAATATAATGATTGAGAAATGGAAGAAATAAGATATTTTAAAACATTTAAGTGTGTGATTAGAATTCCCATGTATCATTTAATCTATGCCCTTATTTGGTTGAAGAATGCTATTCATCGTCATTGGTGTTAAATATCAATGTAAATGATAATTGCATAACATTAAATGAAAAATCCATCCTCATTAGTGCATGATTAGCCTTTTTTTATGTTTTCAATTCAATCAACTAATGGAAAGTCAATATCGTGACTCTTTTCTTTCCAGCTTTCTTTTTAGTCAGTATGTAAGTACAGGAATTGTAATAAATTAGAATGAAGTTTTTATGTCAAAAGTGTCTTTATTTTATTACAGAGTTGAACGGTGAACAACTCCCTCCAAATGCAAATTTCAACTTGGGTAATTGGCACAAAACGTCTCTACATTTCAAGCTTATCATAGAAAACGTCCTTACATTTTATTTTTTGACATTTTTGCCCCTATTTCCACATTTCTTTGCGTTAAACGTCATTTTTATAATTTTTGGCGTAAAATGACCCAAATACCCTTCTATTTAAACAAAACAAAAAAGAAAAAGAAAAAATTGCAACTATAAGTTCAAACTTTTCACATGTGCAAATCAGCCCAAAATTGAAAAAAAAAAAGACAAGTCTTCCGCACCTCACCTCCCACTCCCATTCAACCACCAGTCAAAAATCCTAAATTGCTTCGTTTGAACGGTGAATTACAGCAATTGATTCACTACTTAGAGTCGTTACACTTTGAATTGTATTCTAGTTGGAGCAATTTGTTAATTGTAGATGTGGAGGAACACCAATTGAAATGGAATCGAAGGGTTTTGCGTTTTCTCCGTTTTTTGAATGAACTGCCATATCCAGGCAAAATTGGGGAATACCTATATGCTCATTGGATGCGCAATGAGGAGTAGGTACTTGAGGTGGTGGTCAGCGATCATGGGTCCCACCATCGGGGTCGAAAAATTCGCCTGAAAATAACAAAATGGCTGTGTTCGAAGCAGTAACCTATTTAGTTTGATTGCGTAAATAAAATAACGTTTGAGGGCCATGAACAGGGACGTCTTGCTATGTATATTCGAATGGAATGTTGGGAATGGCATGAGTCTTGTCGGAACAGGTGGTGCTGCATCGTATTTGCATTTGCGAGTTCGATATTTTGACTTGCAATTTCTACCAAATATGTTGGCATGGTAATTGGATGTTGGGTGGCATGTGTAGAGGGGAGTGAGGGCTATCTAGGGGTATGGAGTTCCGATGGTTTCGACGATAGTTCTTCGGAGTTTTTTAAGTGGTGGTCAATTTAAGGTGGTTTGGTGACCTTTTTTTTTTTTCAATTTTGAGTTGATTTGCACATATAAAAAGTTTGGACTTATAGTTGCAATTTTTTTCCTTTCCTTTTTTTGTTTTGTTTAAATAGAAGGGTACTTTGGCCATTTTGTGTCAAAAATGGTAAAAATGACGTTTAGCGCAAAGAAATGTGGAAATAGGGGTAAAAATATCAAAAAATGAAAAGTAATGACGTTTTCCACAATAAGTTTGAAAGGTAAAGACGTTTTGTGGCAATTACCCTTTTAACTTTTAGTATAGGATACAAATGTGATTGAACAATATAAATTATACATAATTAATTTTAATTTTTTTCTTTTTTTATAATATTGACTTTGGCCATCTAATTATCTTTACCTATAGTGCCAAGTTGCACATTCTTTGGGCTTCAATTGCCATCTCTCGATTCATCAAACTTTGTTTCCAAAGATCCCTCTTTTATAGCTAATTAGGAAGTCTTAATCTAATTGTTCAGAATCTCGAGATCGATGGATAACTACTGCTTTTGTCAAAAAAAGGTCTGGAATGCCAAGTGCGGTTGATAAATGCCCCCGAAAAAAGCAAGAAAATAGGGAAGGTCGGCAATTTGAATGGTAGAATCGTAGATATGTATTAAAATGAGGGGTGAATGTTGAGGATGCCAGGCCGTCCCGCCAAGTCACCTTTGCTCTTTGCAGCCTGCAAAATGACAAAAATGCATTCAACCCTGTCCCATTTGCCCGCATTTCATGCCATGATATGAATCATTTATATTTCAAAATTTATAATTACTTCTCTTGCCTCAGATTTAATAGAATAACGCTATCTCATACACGTGATTTGCAACAATTTAGTTATTTTGGGATTTTTAACAGTAGAAATACATTACAATTTCATTGATGGTTTATTATTTTATTTGTCATGGCGCGCACAATAAGCATTTTGGGGTAAATAATGCCGTGTATGCGCTAGTGGTGTTTAACACCAAAATTCTCTCTATTTTAAAGAGTCGATATTTAAAAATATGCTTAAAGATTTCGAAAAATGATAAGACTTATTTTTTGAATGTTTATAAACTGCGAATTCTACGAGATCAAAACTTCGCTCGATGTTTAAAGCGAAGTCTTTCAACGTCAATGACTTAGGTTTGATTCTCATTCGGGAAGGGATTAGTGTAATTTATAAAAAAAAAAAAAAAAGGAAAAAAAAATCTTAATTGTGAATTCTAAGAAATATATGGGAGATAAATAGGTACAAAGTTGTGAGTTCTACAAAACATATCGATAACGAGAGGTCTTACAAAGTGTGTGGATAATAATTACAAAGTAAGTTTGACCAGAATTATTTTAAGCTTTGCCAAAAATAATAACTATGCCTACACAGTTATTCTATATTTTAGTAATACAAAAATTGTGAAAATAATCTAATATTTATAGAGATGTTTGTTAAACCCTAGAAAAACCATAATGAGAAGACAAGATAAATAATAAGTGGAATAAAGGAAACAATATTTTATTTTATTTTCAATAAAAACGAGTGAAATAAAGAAAAAAAATTTCAGTAAAAGCATGTGTAATAAAGGAAACAATAATTTCTCCCAAAAAATCCAACAATATCTAATTTGACACAAATTCGATACAATGAACAAAGTTTCAAAATTTCTTCACCTAGAAAAATAAA